AAGACTCCTTTCAGGTTTTTTCCCCCCAAAGCCTCAGTAGATAGTTGTATGTCATAGCTGCACATCCTTCTAGTTGCTGTATGTGGGACACGGCCTCAGCATGGCCGGAGAAGCGGTGCGTCGGTGCGCACCTGGGATCCGAACCCGGGCCGCCAGCAGCGGAGTGCACGCACTTAACCGCTAAGCCACGGGGCCGGCCCGCTACCGTGGTATTTTGACTTCTAAAACTGCGTCAGGACTCCAAATTAGTACAAGTACAATAAGCATCATTAGCTACATTTATCGAGTGCTATGTGCCGGACACTGTGCAAAGTGGTTTAGACACATAAGCTCACTGAATCTTCACATCAACTCTGTGAGTCATTTATTATTATTTCTATTTTACAAATTAGAAAACTGAGGTTCAATGAGGTTAAGTGGTTTGCTCAAGACTAAACAGCATGTAAGCAATAGAGCTGAGATTCAAACCTAGGCTGTCAAAAGCCCTCACTCTAGGGGCCGGCCCTGTGGCATAGCAGTTAAGTTCGCGTGCTCCACTTCAGCGGCAGGGTTCGCAGGTTCCGATCCCGGGCGCAGACCGACGCACTGCTTGTCAAGCCATGCTCTGGTGGCATCCCATATAAAGCAGAGGAAGATGGGCACGGATGTTAGCTCAGGGCCAATCTTTCTCAGCAAAAAGAGGAGGACTGGCAACGGATGTCAGCTCAGGGCTGATCTTCCTCACACACACAAAAAAGCCCTTACTCTTGACCTTCACTGATCCCTCTGCCAAAGCCATGGCGTGTCAAGACTTCCCAAGGCCCTTGGGAACCCATGTGCCTGTGGAAATGCTACATACTTTGAAAAGGAGGAGGAAACCACGACATATTACTTATAAAAAATTAGAAGCTCAGAGAGATTTATTTCTACCTCCTCACTTTTACAGATGGGGAATAGATGCCTAGAAAAGAGGAATGACATGCCCAGGATCACCCAGTTAAACAGTGGCAAAGCTGGTCCTAGAGAACTCAGATTACCTTACTTCTCTTCCATTACTTTTTGATCAAATCAGAAATTGGTAGCATTTTGAAAAGGGGAGAGAAAAAAGGGGCAGGTGTGGTCCCTGACTCAGGAATCCCCCAAATATAGACATCTGGAGCTTATAAAACAGTAAAAAGAGGGGCGTCTCCTTACGACATAGTTTGGTAGAATGAAGGGGGAGGTCTGCAGTCAGATCTGTTTTTTGTTTGGTTTAATTTTTTTTTTTTTTAAATCTTCCTTTATTGTATCTTTTCTTTTTCTTTTTTTTTTTTTTTGTGAGGAAGATCAGCCCTGAGCTAACATCCATGCCAATCCTCCTCTTTTTGATGAGGAAGACTGGCCCTCGGCTAACATCTGTGCCTATCCTCCTCCACTTTATATGGGACACCGCCACAGCATGGCCTGACAAGCAGTGCATGGGCGCGCGCCCGGGATCTGAACCCAGGCTGCCAGCAGCGGACCACGCGCACTTAACCACTACACCATGGGGCCTGCCCCCGGATCTGGTTTTAATGCTACCTCAACTACTAACCAGCTGTGTGACCACATCTCTCTGAGCTCCATTTTCTCATCTATAAAAAGCTTTCCTCGATTTCTATAGGAGAATCATTTGGATTTCTAGAGAATCCAACTGACTCTCCACTGTGGTCTTACAGAACTTGGTTAATATTTCTGCATATAACTTATCATATTGCTCTTTTTCTTATTTATGCATCTACATTCTCTTGAAGAGCAGGGATTTTTCCATTGTCTTTGTGTCATCAGTGAAGAGTAAAATGGCTGGCATTTAGAAGGTACTTAACAAATATTCGTTGAATGAATGAATATATGAATGTGTAAACTGAATCACTACCCATGAAAAAAACATAAAGGGTGTTATTAATGATGTGTGTGTTAACGAGAAGAGGAGAAGTAATAAGCTTTTCTTTTTCTTGCTTGCCACACTGATATCTGTTAACCAAATGGGGCTTTCTAGGCAATGCACATGTGTCAAAGATTGCAATTCAAGACAAGAGGAAAAGGCACAGGAAGAGGTGAGGATGAAAGAGGCATTTTTACAGTTCATCAAGATATGGTTACTGGCATTTCACTTTTTTACACTGAGAAATTATCACAATCATGTGAAAATGTTCAATTATATATATATATAAAAAGACTAGAAGTGGGGGCCGGCCCGGTGGCACAAGCGGTTGAGTGCGCCCACTCCACTGCGGCGGCCCAGGGTTCGCCGGTTCGGATCC